AGGAAATGAAGCATTCGAGACACTTTAAAGTCATTCTGACGAAAGTTTTACTGGAACACTTAACTCCAGTAAAACGGGGATAACATTGCAACCTCATAGAGATGCCATGAAAATTAACTGAGATAAGCACATGAAGTGCTTAGAACGGTGCCTGCGACACAGTAAACAACCAAAGAACACTTGATTTTATGACATTGATGATAATGATGTTGCGTTTCCTGAACCAGGCTTCCACGTTCCCCTTTCTGCCACCTCTAAACCTTGTACAGACTTCCATTATTTGTTTACACATTTGGTTAGCCTATATGCTAAGGCCCCTGACGTGATGAACCATGACTTACACAGAGTATCAAGAATGGTGCCTGGCATGTAGAAATTCTATAAATGTTGATGTTTTAAAATAACCTCACTGAGGCAGCTTTCCAATTCACATTTGAAGTCAAATACTGAATGAATAACAATTATAAGCCAAGCATTTTGCTAGCTGCTTTTCCACATGATCTCATTTAATTATGTATTATCCCACTTTACAGATAAGGAAACACGCTTCGTAGCCTCCATTTGGCTACATAACTCAATTCCCTGACTCCACAGAAGCGCCCTCACTGAAGCATTTAATAATTAACAACTCCCTCTCCTCTCTATCCCTCAGTGTGGCAACTCTATTTACTCTCTCTGGGCTCAGCCACAAAGCACTGCAGGAAGAAAATCACAAAACTACATAGACTTGGCCCACTAACTGACACAAACTACAGTCATGCGTCGCTTAACGACAGGGATATGTTCTGAAAAATGCGTCATTAGGTGATCCTGTAGTTGTGAGAACATCATAGAGTGTACTTACACAAACCTAGATGGTATAGCCTACTACACACCTAGGCTATATGGTACTAATCTTATGGGACCACCCTTGTCTATGCCGTCCGTCGTTGACCAAAATGTCGTTATGCGGCATGTTGACTGTACACTGAGACTCTCCCTGCCATTCTTCCTGCCCCACAGGTCCAATGCCTCTGAATCCTCTCACTCACTCAACTCCTTTCCACCTATTTTCTATCACCAAATCCTATCAAATTCCCTTTTGTCATTTCTCTCATATCTTTGTCTTCCTCTCCATTCAGAGGCCCAAATCCCTGGTACATTAGTTATGACATGAGCCTAACTTAACTGGTCTTCTGCTCTGGTCTCTCTCTCCTCTCATTCTACCCTGAATCCTCTCATGAGACCAGTCTTCCTAAAGAGTAAAAGTCCTCCTAAAAGAGATTTTGGCTCATGTCATTTTCAGAATCCTTCAGCTGTTCCCCAAGGCCACAGGATGAGGATAGCATTGACACACAAGGCTCTCCGTGCTCTGGTACAAAGCTATTTTTAATTCTGCCTACTCCCCACACAAACTCTGTGCCCTGGCCAAACCAGCCAATGGCTAATCTCCCACACAGCCCTTTACTCACAGTATTCACCGCCACCTGCCCAGCCTACCCACAAATATCCTCTTCCTCTCTGCCTGGTGAAATCCTGCCCATGCTTCAAGGGTTCTATCTTGCTCCCTTTGCGAAGACTTCCCTGATCAGCCCAGCCTTCAGGACCTCTCGTGTCTCTCAACACCCAGTGCTCTTAATATCCACACTCTCGCTGGACTCTGGGCATATATGGTATCTTTCCATCTCCAAGTACATTTTAATAACTTGAAGGCAAAGACCATCTTAGGGCGGCTTACACATAATAAGCACAGTATTTTGACTGACCCAAAATATCTTAAGTATCTCTTTTAGAATATTAAGAATGTTGAGCAAAGATTCTTCTCTGAAGCCCTGCCACTCTCCTAACCATTGCTCTTTGGGGACCTCTTACCACTGAACACCGAGTGCTCACACACATCTAGCATTTTATAGCCAAACTTAACACACATGTATGTGACCACTGGATACCATTATTTAGAAAGGTAGGTCCAAGCTGGAGGAATGTCTGACAATCCACGACTGTTGGAGACAGCAGCACTGTCAAAAGACCCAAAAGAGCTTTCCAGAGAGAAAAGATTTGGGTTAAACAAAGAGCTAAATTTAGTTGCTTCCTGAACATGTTTTTCCAATCAACAGTCCTTTTATAACACTGCTCCCTACCACACACACACACATACACAGTTGGCAGAGTATTTCCATGAGGAGTACGAGCAATTAGAGAAGAATGGCTTAGAAACTGTTAACAGCACTTAGCATGCAGTCCATGTGTAGGATACTAGCAGCAAGCAGTCGGAATCCTAAAACCAAGCCATCACCCAATGGGTAGTAAACATGTTGTTCTTCCTTTGCGACTCTGGGGATTAGCAGAAATAAGGTATTTGGGGTTCTAGGACATGAATGCCACAGGCTAGACTGGGGAGCCATCCAGGCCACTCTCCACAACTGCTGATGTAAGCTGGTTCATTTCTGAGGGAATACTAAAAAGCAAAGACTATAGTCTATTTTGCCATTAAACTGCCCTTCTCTTCTTATACTATATTCTTCTTCCATTTAACTTATCCACATTCAGAAGAGGAGAGAAAATGTGATAGAGAAGGTTTTTAAGAGCCTCTACCTCCCTGGGCGTCAAAGTCCTCATCTATAAAATGAGAAAACTATACTAGGTGATCAAGTGACCTAACGCTAACATTTTATGGTTCTAGGTTGTTTCCCCACATATTCCAGATGGTTTGCCTTATTTTGATCCTAACATTTGGATAGTAGATTCAATTGGAAAAGTATCTCCAGCTCTGCACTACCTGAATGTCACTCAGTAAAAACCTGCTTTGAGGCTTGTGTCTTGGAGTTGAGCAGAGATAAAAATCACCTATAGGAGAAGCAGCTCAGCAAGGCAACTGCTCACTAGCTCTATTTCCAGCATAGACCCTGCTTGGCAAAAGGGCTTCATTTTCACTCCTTCTCACTGTTGAGAACACAAAGAAAAACCAGAAGGCATTAGCCTGCAAGACCTCTCGTCCCCTCACTATCATCGCCAGGGAAGTGTAGCTGGTCGCTACACACCACAAACCACCATACCTGAGTTCTTGGCCAAGGACAAGCACATGTGGTTTGCAGTATGTTTGTTAATGGCAATTCTGGAAAAATAATTTCACATGAGAGGAGGGAACTTTTTACTTCCGTCATTAAATTAAACGAAGTGCAAAGATCAAGCTGGGGAGGTGAAGTGTGTAGGAGGAAACGACTCCTCCTCTCCCTTTGTCTTCTTTAGCAAACATTTTCTCAGGCTCTTTTAGATCTGAGAATCTTCACTGATTCTCACTGTTATTCTCTCCCTTTTAGCCACTTCACTCCAAGGCAGGCTATAATCTCCCCAAGCTCAGGAATTTCAGGGAAATCACTCTGCATGACCCAAGCACCATAGCTCAGAGAGCTACCAAGAAAGGCAGCTTATTTTGCAACTGAGGGCAGAAAAAAGGGGAGCAGTCAGAGGTGGATGGATGGCAGGGTCTGAGTGTACTACCAGACCTGCTGGATGATAGCTGCCTTTGAAAAGCTTAATACCTGGCAACTTAAGTCTGATTCTGAGCTAGGCTGTTTGCCTTTACACAGGGGGTAAAAATCAAGAGTTGAGCAAGTCTCACTGTCAGTGCCACTTAAGGAAACTACCTCAGCAAAGGCAGGCCAGCCAGTCTGCTAATGAAACATGGAAACAATTTAGTAGTCTTTCTTAGCCTGACAGTCTGCTTATTTTTTTTTTTCTAACATGGAAAGCACATGCAAGCTTCTATACGCAGCAAAACCAAATACAATATAGCCATACTGCTGTCTGCAAAAAAGCCATGCCATTATCTCTGATTTTCCTCCAAATGTAATTAAGCTGTCTCCAAAATTCTCCCTGTAACTGCTACTAGCATTCAGGATCTTTTTTTTTTTTTTTTTTTTTGGGTAAGGAAGATCAGCCCTGAGCTAACATCCATGCCAATCCTCCTCTTTTTTTTGGTGAGGAAGACTGGCCCTGGGCTAACATCTGTGCCCATCTTTCTCCACTTTATATGGGACGCCACCACAGCACGGCCTGACAAGCGGTGCCTTGGTGCGCGCCTGGGATCCGAACCCAGGCTGCCAGCAGAGGAGCACGCGCACTTAACCGCTACGCCACAGGGCCGGCCCTGCATTCAGGATTTATATATCCTATATTCAAAACTTCAAACCAAAATGAATATTATACTCAGTTCCTTCTCTACTTACTAAAATTATGATTCTCCATTTAGCTCTTAAAATCATTCAATAATAACAGTATTCAAATTGTATTCTAAGAAGCCCAGTTAATAACGTGGTTTAGGGGGAAAGGATAGGGACAGGGATGAGGCAGACTACCTCTTCCACAGCTGCTTTTATCTGCTTCAAATGCCACATGTTTGAGGAAAGATTCTAATGCTAAAAAAAAAAAACCTAAAAATCACTGAGGTAGACTAGACTATCATATACAGTGACCTACAGAACTACCAAGGCACTACCTTGTTACATGAGAATTATGACTAGCCAACTCTCAATGACCAGGGCTAGCAGAAGATGAGGACAGTGTAGTAAACAAAGATAATTTATTGAAATCCTATTTTCAACCAGTGGTTTCAACAATCCATCTCCAACTATGTTTTACTCCAGCAAACAACTAGTAAAACAGAGTTGAACTTCTGGGAAAATGTACAGGCAGTAACAGGGAAGCTAAAGTGCAAATAGATCTGATTATGTGAATCTAGGCAGTTGGCCCCTAGGTCTTTAATTATTAATCATAAACAGCAGACCAGATCCTGCCAGCTGCAAGATATAAATGGACCTGTAGAGAAATCAGCCCCTCCACAGTGGTAGGCAGGATGTTGTATTGGTCACAATCTCCAAAGACAGTAATAAGGGGCCAACCACAAGCCACTTTAGTTAATTCCTAGTGCAAGACTGTGACTCAGAATCTAGGTCATTCTGTTACAAGCGTAATAGAAAGGGAAGAGGGGCCAGTGGGATGTGGGACCTGGTGCAACTCACCTGTGCAGAATTCCTTGCTCACGTTGTGGGGCACTGTGATCCGTCGGTAGACAATGGGCTCTGACTCCAGGATGTTCTCATCATGGCGGTAACGAGTAGGCCTTTCACTTGGGATGCCCCGGGAACGGGTACCACTTCTCCTCTCATAGGTATCAATCTCCTCAAACACAGCTGCCTTGTCAAAAAGGGCCAAGTTCCCTTCAAAATCAAAATCTGTGTCTGGGATCTCCTCAATATCATCCCCGAAGCACTCGTCATCTTTACTCTTCATTTGGCCATTCTTTAAGCCACTTTTCTTTGGAGTTGCCTGATTTGGGTGCCTGCTACTAGATGACCCTGGAGAAAAAAACAGGGACTAAAGTCAGGGTGCCCACAGAAAGTGCTCAGTGGAAACAGAAAATACAATACATTAATCCTTTATGGAGAGTGTTATAAGAATCAAAGTGAAGATGGTAAAGATAAGCTATTCCTAAATTATATTAGGATTTACTACCACATACTATCATATTAGGACAAACTACCACAAATCTCAAGGAATAACAGATTTTGTATATTACCCAAGTAATAGTGAATATAAAATAAGCAGTACTCCTGGAAATCTTAACCAATTCTGCCCTTCATAGGGAAATTGGTAATGACAGAGGCTTCTTTGACATCTGAATATAAAAAAGGAGTAGAAGGGCAGGAATACTGCAGTCTCTTCCCACAGGTCAGGGTGGTTTGATTCTGAATGTCTGGCAGCTGTTTAAGAGAGAAATACTCCCAGAGTAAAAGGCGGCCAAGTCCTCATAATCTGAAGTTCACAGGAAGATACTATTCAACTGGCTTTTAATTCTATGCTACAAAGCAAGCAACCTTCTGATTTTTAATTTGGTCTCTAGACCCCAGCAAGAGGGAACCCCTGGTTTAGACAGATTTCAGATCTTGAGCCAAATATACATCTACCACTATAAGTTGGTATTTTGACTTATAAACCTGTTTTTATTTTATTTATTTATGTTTTTTGTGAGGAAGATCAGCCCTGAGCTAACATCTGCCAATCCTCCTTTTTTTGCTGAGGAAGACTGGCCTTGGGCTAACATCCATGCCCATCTTCCTCCACTTTATATGGGACACCACCACAGCATGGCTTGCCAAGCGGTGCGTCGGTACGCACCCAGGATCCGAACCGGTGACCCCCAGGCTGCCGCAGCAGAGCGTGCGTACTTAACCACTTGCGCGACCGGGCCGGCCCCTAAACCTGTTTTTAGATCTTTTGGTTAATGTGATTTCTCAGAATTTTATTACTTCTGGGTAAGTAATTTCTAAACCATTAAATAATCACAAAGACCATATTGCCCTGATCCTGTAGAGGCCACACCAAGATGCACATCAACACCAGAGCACCCAGCCACCCTCTGTCTCTGAGACTCTATTTGGCCACCATATGTCAGTTAACTACTCCTCTAGCAGCCAAGGCAGAAGACCCTACAGAATTCTCCACACCATCCATTCCCAGAGAATCCTGAATTGAGTTTATACTCTGATCCCCATCTGGCTACCCTGAAAGGGTAGAACAGGTGACTGGTATGCCAAAGGAACCTCTAACGTAGTCTAAATAAATGTAATGTACTTCCTTTTGAGAGACTGAGCTCCTCAATTTTACTGAAAATATTCAAGTAGAGGTTAGAATGATCACAAGCAAACCCCCTCACACATATCATCCCAACTATACTGCTCTAACTCTTCTCACAGCACTCCCTTCTACCCAATGGATCATGAGTCAGGAGACCTAAGGTCTAGCTGCAGTTCTGTCATTAACATGTTATATTATCTTATACCTGTCACCCAACTTCTCAATTTCCTTGTATGTAAAATGCTCTCACTCTGGTATCCCCAGCAGGGTTTCTAGCATATAGTAGGCAGTCAATAAATATTTTTTTAACAAATTAATCAACATCAGCAAGATCAATTACAATAATTATTCTGAAAGATGTGTACTGTGCAAATCTAACTCACGTCCAAGTCTTCCTAATGCCAAATACTGGTACAGAAAAGGGCTGTGCTGGCAGTAAACATGAGATTTAGGCCTCTGAAAAAAAACTAAGGCTGACCAAAATTATGAAGAGGAAGAAGTGTTGGCTGAGCTCAGATTATGAACCACCGAGAAGCTCGTCAAAGTACGGATTAAGTTCTAGTTCCGATAATTTGATAAAAACATTAAATGAGAGCATGCCTGTGTGTCAAAGCTAGGTGCTGGGCATATAGTATATAACCCAGACACGCTACTCAAAAGAGGAGGAAAAGAGAAATATAAGTAAATAACTAAAAATAGAATGTGATGAGAGTTATAACAGAAGTTTATATAAAGTGCCATTGAAATATGGATGAGAAAGCAGAGATGGATTAGGAATGGGAGAGCAGGCATGAAAACACAAGGTCAGGATAACACCATTAGCAATATAGATTGGCAGGGGAAGAACTAGAGAAAAAGTCTAGTTTGCAAGATTACCAATACACTCCCTCAATATTAAATCAAACCATCCTAGGTCTCTAGCCCAGTGGTCTCTCTCCAGTGGATGTGTGCATACCCAGGAGTGTACAGGATGACCCACTGGGATACAGGGATAAGATACTGAATATTCTATTTATTTTTTCTTTTAACTAAAAACAGTAAGAAATTAAGCTTTAAGCTTTATGAATTTAATGTATGGATGGAAATTGGTACCCTTATAAGATTTCATGCCAGCCAATCACTGCCAGCATTTGAGATACCTGAAGAAAGAGTGATGTTCCATAAGGGTATCCATGCAAGCAGCTTTACATCAATTTTTTTATTGTAGTTAAATATACATAACATAAAATTTACCATTTTAACCATTTTTAAGTGTATAGTTCAGTGGTAGTAAGTACATTCACATTGTTGTGCAACTATACAAATTTTTAACTAAACCATACAAAAATAAGTAGCTTAAAAAGATTCCTATATAGAAACTATGTATTAAAGATAATACTAATACCACAGTCATAAGTGAATGAGAGAATACAGAGCTAACATTTTCCCTATTCTTCTTATAGGCCTTCTTTAGCCAGAATGAGGTTTTTACAACTAATCTAATCAGATCTAAGAAGGTGGCCTCCCAAATTAAAAAGTATCAAAGTTATCCCAAACATGAATCCATACGGACTATCACTGATTAACTTCACCCTACGTGTATACTCGACATCAGAAGTCTGCAAACTACAGCCCTGGGGCCAAATCCAGCCTACTGCCTGTTTCTGTAAAGTTTTACTGAAACACAGTCACACTCATTTATATACTGTCTAAGGCTGCTTTTGTGCTATAAAGGCAAAGTTAAGTATTTGAGACAGAGACCTTATGGCCTGCAAAGCCTGAAATATTTAACACTTGACCCTTTACAGAAAGTCTGCTCACTCTGCCATACATCATGCCTCTCAGAGGTATTCTTTACGTTAAGATAAAGAAAAATTTAAAAATTAACTGAACCCGGGATCAGTTCTTTGAATCTCTGTCTCATTCAAAGTGTTAAGTATGTCACTTATTAAACTATTGTCTTTCAACTCCACACTCACTCTCTGTGATGCAGGGCTGCAACTCTACAAACTACATTTTTCCTTCTTTAGCTGGCTTCCTGATAGGTTCCATCACCAGCAGCAGATACTTGAAGAGACCAAGAGGAAGGAGAAAGAAGGAAGGAGAAGGGACTTGCTCCTTTTTGTCTGCTTGCTATTTGCACCAGCACTGCCTTGGCAGTTGGTTCCAGTCTCCAGCTTTTCCTCCTGGCACGCGTAGACAGAACCAGCTTCACTGCACCCCGCCAGAAGTACTGGCACCAACTCTGTGAAGCCCCTTCTCTGAACTTCAAGATTCTGATAACCCCAACCTCTTCCCTTTGTTTCCCCTCCCTCAACGTCTCTTTTTGCTTTTTTAGTCTTCCAACACCTACTTAACCCATTCTCTATATTAAATTTTTTCTGAAATAATTAGTGTGGTTACTATTTTCCTTAGTGGTATACTAAGATTTTAAAATTTAATGACTCAAAGTTAATTACTCTGTTCTTGCCCAATATTAATATTTAATAAGCAAAAAATATTTTGAACCATCAATAAAATATTACTGTAAAAACAGTTCATGTTTATCTAATCCTTTTTAGTTTGCAAAGGTAAAGACCTTTCTGAATTACAGACACATATACATACAGAGAAATAGAGCTTATAGCTTCAAAACTAAAATCTCAGATATGTGTCAAGAGTAAACACAGAAATATAAACACTCACCAGACTAGATACCAAAGAGCCGATCTTCTCCCAGTGGGCATGAAAATCTTAATTGATTTGAGCTCAAAGTAGACAAACAGAAAAAAACAAAAAAAAGACTAACAAACCAGATTCTCTGCTGTCTCCCTCCCAACAGAGATTAGATATCTAGAAATATTAATCCTTTTACAGAGATCATCAAGCGTTCAAACCATAAAGCCAAACATTTCCAATCACTGCTGCTACCAATGGGGACAGCTTAGCTGTCAACCAACTGAAAACAGAGCAAAACCACAAAATTAGTAGAAGGGGAAAATACTAAAGAAAGAGAGTCAGCCAAGTTCTACTACTGCTTTGGATTGACCCCTGGGAGCCAAGCAAAGATGCGCCGGGGCTTCATCTGCTCATGAGGCGCATCGCTATTTTTGTTTGTTTGTTTTACAGCTTTATTGAGGTACAACTGGTACACAAAAACCTGCATATACTTAATGTATACAATTTGATGAGTTTGGACATATGCATACATCTGTGATACCATCATCACAATCAAGGTAATAAATATATCCATCACCTCCCCCATTCCCCCCAAAAGTCAATGATTCACAGTTAATCACTCTGTTCTAACCAAATATTAGTTTTTTAATAAGCAAAAATTATTTTGAACCATTGAACCATATTTTGAACCACTAAAATATTACTGTAAAATAGTTCACTTCATGTTTACCTAATCCTTTTTAATTTGTATCCTTATGTCTCATATCTAATATATATAATACGTAGGTATGGTAGAAGTCAATAAATTGGTGAGCCAATCAAGAGTTCTTATCAATGTCATAGAAATGATTAGTTCTGAAAGAGAAAGTACAAGAAACCTAATGAAATAATATCAATATTATGACTCAACTACTTCAGGCTTATTTTAAGGCACTATTTAGGCCAAAGCATAATTCCTGTGAAGCTGAATATAGTTTATTTGGAGGAAAGGAAGGGGGGTGTCTACGTCAGTCTCTTCACGTCAACCGCATTTATAATCACACCACTGCTCACTGAATCCAAAACACCATTTCACTCATGAGAG